GTAACATTATATACTGTGTCCTGTGTCTTTCCCTTTTTTAACCAAACCACTTTTTTTTTCGTTGTTGTTGCTTCAAGCAGAACTTTATTAAATACCCAATTTTGGCATAGTTTCTTTAAATGTCTTTATCTTTGAATAAAATGAAGGATAGGCATCAAGTTCTACGCAGGCCAATCTTAACTGAAATGTACACTTGGCTGCTTTAGATTTAGAGAATTGGTAAAATTTTATCCTGTTGATCTTGCTCAAGAATCTTGAAATCTTCCAAAGGAAGATTGCTTAAGGCAGTTGGTAAAATGTGCTCTGATGTGCCCTTACGTAATACGTTATTTGCTTCTAGATTCTTCACCAAGCAGGTGGCTTTGATCCATCTTCGAGTTGCTCTGCGTTCTTTTTGTAGGCAACTTTTCATTTTCCTTCTTAAGCTTGCTATTTCTTTTTCCAGTTTAATTATCCTCTTTTTTGCCTCCATAGGATTCCTAAAGGCATAACTATGTTCAAGTAGTACTTGCTGACTATTAATGTTTGATTTTAAATTAGACGGTCCGGCTGGAGTACAACTGATGTTTTTCTTCAAAAGATTCCTTGACTTGAGTTTCATAGACTTTATATGAGTACAAAAATCAAAAATAGTTGGAACAGCATCCATTTTAAGTCGTCTAGTTTGTCCTGTTAGGTCAAAACAGGAGGCTTCAAAGTGCTTTGAACAAAGAAAAGTGTGTTTTCCTGGCACAAAATTTTTGCGCCTAACCAGGCGAACGAACCCATTCTTTTCTTCTTTTAGGATCCAAAGGAAACCTGTGGAAGCTGATGTTAATGTGCTTGTTGTAGGTAGTAGCACAGCCCGCCAGGGCGCAATTGGTCTGCATTTCCCTTTCCCCCTCATTCAGCGCAGTCTTAAGCCAGTTCTGAAGCACTGGCTGCTACTTTTCCTTTGGGCACTGGCTGGGCAAGGAACTCAGGGGAAGGGCTACCGAGCTCATTGTGGGAGCCCAGTGAAAGAAGGGGTGTGCTTGTGTCTGGGTGGTGGTGGTGGTGGTGGCGGCGGCGGGGGTGGGGGGGCAGGGCCCAAACCATTCTTGTCGGCAGCAAAACCTGCTGTGCTCATTCATTTCGGGTCCTCTCTGATTCGTTTTATTTCATTTTTTATTATTTATTTATTTATTTTATAGAGGCATGTTTTATTTATTTATCTGTTTATTTGTTTTGGTTTATACATGCACTGGGTACAGTCAGAAGTGCGGGAGGGTGAGAGAATTCACCAGAGCCAGAGCGGGGAGCAGAGCAGGCAGAAGGACCGAAATACACTGCTAAGGGGATCAGCGGGCGGCAGGAGAGGTCTGCGCACCATGTGGGACCCTCCTCCGGTGGCTGGGGAGCAGCTGGGAATCGAACTGGCGCTGCAGAGGCTGCGGGCAGCTTCGCAACCCAGAGCTCAACCGCTGGGCCATCGGGGAGGCCCTCTCTGATTCATTTTAGCTTAGATTTGTAGGTAAACCCCTGGTTTGTAATTTCGTGGGTATTTAAGGAAATGTTCACATGAAAGATAAAGTATATTAAAAGCTCAGAGAATTATATCTGGTTCGTACATGAGTCTAATGAAAGCTGGGGGAATGGAGTCTCCGTGGTGGGGCAAAAATCATGCACAGCACTGTGAAGCTGTCCGCAACCCCTGCAGCACGAGGTCGATGCTGGAAGGCCAGGAGTCTGCCCACATGGCACAGCAGACCTCTCCCGACTAATCCGCTGCTCCCCTCAGCAGTGTACTTCAGTCAGTCTGCCTGTTCTGCACCCTACTTTGTCTCTCTGGTGACTCCTCTCACCACCCGCGCCTCTGACCTGTACCCCAGTTGTTGTATGCATAAGTAAAAAAAAAAACTTTAAAAATACGTTTTTGTTGTTGTTGTAACTTTGCTTAGTATTTGATCATTACCCACAATTTCCTCTCCGTCTTTCATCTTCGTTTCTACTATGAATTTTCCAATTGTCCTTGTACAGATATGTGCCCTGGGTCAGATTTGACGTCACTAAAATTATAGGGTCTACGGTGGTTTCCTTGGCATATGTGATCCTCTGGGCTCTGTGGGTGCATTAGACTGTTCCTGTGTAAACATGGATGTCGCTGTGTAAGGGCTTTCTTCTTTCTCAGAACCAGGTCTCCCCCCTTTTTTTAAAGATTTATTTTATTTTTTTTCTTTTTTTTTTAAGATTTATTTATTCATTTGTTTGTTTATACATACAAGCACTGGGTACAGTCAGAAGTCCAGGAGGGTGAGAGAATTCACCAGAGCCAGAGCGGGGAGCAGAGCAGGCAGAAACTGTGAATGAAAAGTGATGAGATGAGTTGTTTGTCCAAATATGAATTTTGAAACCACCAGATTTTCATACTGGAAACTTGAAAGAAATGAAAATATGATTAAATGCTTTATAATGCAATTTGGATTCATATTAAGATATTGCAATACAGTAGGAAGTGAGAAACACTTTACATTCCTTAAGTCAGAAAATTGTTATGGAGCATAAGCCAACATGAGAACACTAAATATTAGCATAATTGAAAAGTCTGAGGGCCTTCCTGGTGGTGCAGAGGGTTAAGTCACAGCTCTATGAAGCTGTCAGCAGCCACTTCAGCATGATTTAGTCCCTGGCCAGGGAGCTGACAGATGAAACAGCAGACCTCTCCTGACTTACCTGCTGCTCCCCTCAGCAGTGTGTTTCAGTCAATCTGCTTGTTCTGCTCTGCACTCTGTCTTTGGGGAATCCTCTCACCCCCTACACTTCTGGCCTACCCCTTGGTTTTTTTTTTTTTTAATTATTTTTATTTTTTTAATAGAGGCATGTTTTATTTATTTGTTTGTTTGTTTGTTTTGTTTATACATGCACTGGGTACAGTCAGAAGCGTGGGAGGGTGAGAGAATTCACCAGAGCCAGAGCAGGGAGCAGAGCAGGCAGAAGGACCGAAATACACTGCTGAGGGGACCAGCGGGCGGCAGGAGAGGTCTGCGCGCCATGTGGGACCCTCCTCTGCTGGAGGGAAGCAGCCGGGGATCGAACTGGAGCCGCAGAGGCCCGGGCAGCTTTGCAACCCAGCGCGCAACCGCTGCACCTCCAGGGAGGACAAACCCTTGGTTCTTGCATGCATAAATAAAATCAATCTTTAAAAAAATATATTAGAGTTCAAGACGATGGTTTGGAGATCTGTATAGTTATTTTCTTTGTCCTTTTTTATTATCAACCATACTTGAGATATTGTGAAGAGACCTGATGAATATAATTCAGCCCTAAATCACTTCACTATGGCTTTCTCCTGGTATGTACGTGGAGTCATGTATTTGACTTTCCTGAGTCAAACATCTAAGAGACCCTCCTCCAGTTGATGAGTTTGTTTACATCTTAATTGCTTTGGTACATTTATGATGGTGGCATGTATCTTGAATGAAGAAAATCTAAATGGAGATGCTGTTTGTGGGTGACTGAAGAGACTGATCTCAATCACCCAGAGGAGTCGTGGACTTCATTGTGGGTATAAAAGTTAGACAGAGAAAGGTGCTGAAGTTCAACTCATTTCATCATTTTCTCCTTCAGGGAATACAGTAACAGTTTATTAATATCCTCATGTGTCTTCATGGTAGTAATGGAGCCATGAATATTATTGGACGTTGTTGCCAAAGAAATCATCACAAGCTTGTGATGAAAGAGCAGGTGAGCTTTTCATAACAGCGTGGAATTCTTGTGCATTCACATTAGCTAAGCACAGCATCTTTCTGTTGAACACCTACTCTGTGATCCAGATATCAGAAGGTCAAGATGCTTCTTAAATACCTGAATTTTGATTTTGATGAAATGTGTCTTGGTATCTGACTGTCTTATTTAGACTATATGTGAACTTCTTATGTGTATTTTTTAAATTAGTTCATACAAGAGCTGGGGTGCAGGCCAAAGGGGTGTGTGTGTGTGTGTGAGAGAGAGAGAGAGAGAGAGAGAGAGATGGGGCGGATTCACCAGAGACAGAGTGGGGCGCAGAACAGGCAGACAGAGAGGAATACACTGCTGAGGGGAGCAGCAGGCAGGACAGGAGAGGTCAGCCCTGCCCTGTGGGTCGCTCCCTGCTGTGGAGGGGCGGATACCTTCTGAGTCAGCGCGGTGCTTAACCCCTTCAGCCCCTGGGCGGCCCTGTTGAGCTCTCTTCCCTCAGAGCCCTGAACCCATTATGGGCCCCGCAGTTTTCACGGGCCTCGCCCACCCGCCCGTTCTCCTCAACCTCCACTCCTCCCACTTCCAGGCCGCAACCCCGCCCCAACGACGGCCCGACGGGCTGCGCAGGGCATTGTGGGAAATGTAGTCTCGCGCCGCCGTGGTTCCCGCGGAGGTTTCTGGGCGGGGCTTCCGCGATCTGCGCGTCCGGAAGTTTCCGCGTGTCCGGAGCGCTGCGGCGCCCTGAGGTGAGCGCGGGGTTTGTCCCGGGAGGCGGGGCTCGGGGGAGCGGAGACGACGGGCTGGTTGGGGAGCGCGGAACGCGAGCGAGCTCGCCCCCGGCCCGTGGAGTCGGACGCTTTGGAGCCGATTCCCGCCGGGGCGCGCGGGGGGGGGGCGGAGGCCGTTGGGGAGAACGTCCCGGCCTTTCCGGTTTCCCCGGCGCGGCCGCCCGGCCCTGTCCCCAGACGCTGCCCGGGGTCTTCCCGGGGCGGGGGACGGGGTCTCCGAGGCGGGGGCTTGGGGAAGCGCGGGTCCGCCTGTGCGCATGCGCGCTGACTCCTCTGGCCCCCCCGAAAGTCGGGCGGTGAGGGAGGGGAGAGCCCGGCGGCGTTTCTCGGGTTGGGGGGGGCCTGGGCGAGATTCGCGCACCCCAGGTGGGGCGGGAGAGGCCCGCGGGTTGCCCGGGGAGGCGGCCCTGTGTCGGGAAACTGGGTTTGCAGGGCGGGGGGTGGGGGGAGTTCCTGGGGCGTTAGAGGCTTGTGGACTGAATTTCCGGGCGCGCTGCGCGTTCCCCCCCAGGCGGCGTCCTGCTGGCCGCTGCATTCCCGCCTCCCGCCTGCACCTGCGCACCCAGGGGACGCAGCGCTGTCGAGAGTCCCGGAGCGGAGGGCGGGAAGGTCGTCTCGCTGGAAGTGGAGTCCACACTCTGCAGCGACTCCTCAGCTCTGAGACGGTTGCTCCTGCGTGACCGTGGCGCAGGCAGTGGGCAGTGTCACCTTTTACTGAGTTGTGGTGAACCGTCCGCCCAGGCTCTGCCGCGCGTGGACTCGGGGCCCTTCCTGCCCTGCTAGAAGTGCCACCCGCTGCCACACGCGGTGACTCTCTGGTGTCTCCAGGCAGCGTGTGGCGGGCTCTGGCCAGGAGACTCCGGACCCCGGCAGCCGCCTCTGTCCTCTGTGCTGGACCCCAGCGCCCCCCAGCGCCGCTCCCGAGCCCTCGCGTGTCTGAGAGCAGCGACCATGGACGAATCTCTGGTGAGTGGCGTGTTGGCTTCAGCTCGCGGTGCATTGACTTTATGCGAGTTCATGACCGGACATGTACATGAGAAACATAGTTTTCTGCAGGGACACATTCCTCACCAGGGAAAGGTGTGGCGTAGGTCCAGGCCCTTCCCATGTCCAGCGTGCGTGGAGATGGGGCTCTGCCCTGGTGCTCCCGCAGCGCAGAGTCTGTACCTGGGTCTCCGTTGATGACGCTGAAGGTGTGGCCTGTGGCTCTTCACCCCGCTGGACAGAAACACTTCCCAGCTCTGAGCTGCTCAGGTGCAAGGGGAGGGAGGAGGAGGTGGATGGGCCTGAGGACCCGAGTGCAGATGAGGGTGAAGGAGCCACGTGTCATTTGAAAAGGACAACTGAATTTTTAAGGTTTCTGTGCAGTTGCTGAAATCCTATAGTGTGTCCCAGGCCGCTCTCGGAGACTTTCATGCAGGCGTCAGTCTTGGCACGAGTGACGTTGAGTCCACTGGGGCGTCCTTACATCCCTGCCCCTGCTCTTCTCTCAGGGGGTCTGCAAACCCCAGGTGCCTGGTAGACTCTTCAGAGTCCTTTTTTCTGGCGGTTGTTTGCACTGCTCCTGCGCATTTCTCCTTGGTGTGGTCTGCGTGCATTTCTAGTGACGCTTCCCAGCACCCTAAGTTGTTCCCCAGTCCAGTGACACTCTCCAGCCTTTGCCTTCCCCAAAGTTCATGCCATGTTTGAGAACACCATGTGTGACCTTGGGGAAATTCCATTTTTTATAATAGTTTCAAAGCTTCTTATACTGTTTTCTCTTTCTTTTACTTATTTTCCCTCCTCGATCTGTCATTGACATGTGTAGCACTGAAAGTCTTCTGCTCAAATAGTTGCCAGTTTTTTCCTAGACTCCTAATGGGTCTTGCCCTACCCCTTGTTCCCCCTCTACCCAACCACCCTGGCCCATCCCCCGTCTGCCTCCCTCCCTAACTTCTCCACTCTTTCCCCTGTTCCCTCTGGTGGTCATCTTTACCTTCACATGACCCAGTTCAAGTTTGATTCAAGTATTTTGCCTGTAAATGTTTTTTGGATATTTATTTTACACAGATGAGTGAAGCCATCTCATATGTGCCTGTACTTTTTGTTTTATTTCATTGAAGAATAGCACCTCCTGGTGCCTCCCGAGTGGCGCAAGGGGTTGAAATGCAACCCATGGGACTGTCTGCAGTCTCTGCAGCATAAGTTCCATCCCCCGGCCATCCGGGGAGCTACCCACGTGGCGCAGCAGACCTGAGTGGCCTGCTGGGTCCCTCAGCAGTGTATTTCGGTCAGTCTGCCTGTTCTGTTCCCTGCCCTGTCTGCTGAATCTTCTCACCCCCCTCCCCACACCTCTGGCCTGTACCCCAGCTCCTGTATGCTTGAATAAATAAATCTTTTTAAAAGAAAACAGACTATCACCTCCTTGTCCACCCATTTTATCCTCAGTGTGACCTTTGCTCCTTCCTCATGGCCCTGCAGTGCTCCCCTGCGTGTGCTCCACCCTTTTTGCTCCGCCTCTGGCGAAGGGATGTAGGTTGGGCCATGACTGGGCTGTTCGGAACAGAGCTGCTCTGCTCCCGGGTGGGAAGAGTCTTTTTGTGTTTGAGTTTTCCCGTGAGGATAGTGTGTAGAAGTTTTGCAGATGACATGGAATTTCCGTTTTTATTTCCTGAAGAAACCTCCGCACCCTCATCCACAGGGTCTGTTCCGACTGTCATGGCCACCAGCCGCGGGTGAGAGCTCCCTTTTCTCTGCGCCCTCTCCAGCGTTCTTCCTTCCGTGTTTTTTTTTTCAGTCTTTCGCTTTTTTAAATACTATTTTACATATTTTCACATCATTTTCATTTTTGCAGAGCGGAATCATTTTCATCTTCGTTATAGTCCCCATAAAATTTTCACCCCCGATCCCCCGTTTTGTATAAATGCATTCGTTTTTATTTGGGCCTTCTCAAGGGGTGAGGTGGCATCTAAGTGTGTTTTCTATTTACATTTCTCTTACAATAAGTTAAGGTGAACATTCTTATTGTCTGCAGAATGTCAGAATTCCCTCTCCAGAAGAGTTTATGTAGTTCCTTTGTCCATTTTTGTATTAAGATTTATTTATTTATGCATGTAAGAACTGGGGTGTAGGCGAGAGGTACAGGGGGTGAGAGGATTCACCAGAGAAAGTGGGGAACAGAACAGGCAGACTGACTGAAACACACTGCAGAGGGGAGCAGCGGACAAGTCAGGAGAGGTCTGCAGCGCCATGTGGGTTGCTCCGTGCCAGCCAGGTATCGTACTAGCTGCAGAGGCTACGGAAAGCTTCATAGGCTGCGTCCCAACCCCTTGTGTCACCAGGGAGGCCCCCCTTTGTCCAGTTTTAATTGAGTCATCAGTTGGTTTCTCGCATTGTTTGGGGATGTTATAAATTTTTGGAATGAACCCTTTGTCACGTGTGTGGCATGCAGATTCTTTTTTTCTGTTCTGTAGATTGCATTTCAGTTTTTGGGTTGGTTTCTTTTGAGGTATGAAAGCTTTTAGGTTTGGTGGTGTCCCGCTTGTTGATTTTTGCCTTTTTTTCCCTTGGTGTTGGGGTTGTGTTCCCTAGTGCACTCTGTGGCAACTGTCCTTAGTGTGTACCTATATTTTCTGTCAAATACGTCGCCCAATATTTAATCCATTTAGAATTTTATGGATTGATTTATTTATCCATATAAGAGCTGGGGTACAGGCCAGACATGTGGTGGGTGAGAGGATTCACCAGAGACAGAGTATGGAGCAGAACAGGCAGATCTGGTGAAATACACTACTAAGGGGGGCAGCAGGGAGACAGGAGAGGTCAGGTGTGCCGTGTTGGTCTGTTCCCTGACTGGGGATCGAACTCATGCTGCAAGGGCTGTGGATAGTTTCATAGTGCTTTGTCTTGACTCCTTGCTTCACCAGGGAGGCCCCATGTTGCTGTATTAAGTCGGGTGGAATTTGGTGAGGATTTTCCCTTCTCTGTTCTTTGGTGCTGTTGGTCTATTTTTCCCTTTTATGCTGTCTTTTTTTGGGGGGGGATCAGGGCAATGTTGACCTCGTCATATGTGTTGGTGAGTTTTCCTCGGTCTTCAGTGTTTTGGAAGAAGCAAATTTCTTTGTGTTTGCTTCTGTCATGGTCTCTCTGATGATTTCTTTTCCGTGTCCCTGAGTGCTTGAGTATCTTGTGCTCCTGAATGTAGCTAATCCCTGTGTTCCAATCTGGTCTCCCGTCTTCAGTGTGCACTTCTCCTGAGTGTGTCGGTCACCTGTGTTTTGCCATTTCTGCCAGTTACACTTGAGCGTGGGCCTCTGCCCAGTCCTACTGCCACAGGCTCGGCTTCCACCTTACTGCGCCTGTAGCCATCCCGATGGCACCTGCTGCTCATGCAACGTGCAAACCTCATCCTGTGTTGTGCCCTCCCGTGTGGAATTAGATCCTTCCTAGCCCAGGTCTCCCGCCAGCAGAAAGGGATTTCTCTATTCCAGAGTTTCGTCTCACCCAATGCAAGTTTCTCTTCAGTATTACCTGATACCTTAATGGTTGCTAACAAAAGCACCACTGTGTGTGTGTGTGTTTCAGTTCACATTACAGTTCTCATTCTTGGCCAAACCTGATGGATGCGTTTTCTCAGTCATGAGTTTGCTCCCTTTTCTGCCTCCGACTGGACAGTGTGCTGACACCTCAGAGTTCAGGGGGAGAAAGTACTCAGGGGTCAGTAAATGTAGTTTTTAATAAGGAGCTTCACATATCCGTCATTGAGTCTGGAATACAGTAGGTGTGTGCATTAGTCATACATATGATTCTTGCTGAAGTTATCATTAATAGTAGATTTTGTTTTCAATTTGGATGGAATGTTTATAGAATATTATTAGAATGAATATATTTTACAACCTAATTTTCGCAGCTCTTCTGTCACTTGTGACCATGCAAGTGTTTCATTTTATAAACCTTTGCACTGTGGGTAGCAGCAGTGGCTGCTCTTCTGCCCATCGTGACTGTTGCTTCCTTTTTCTCCTTTTCCTACTAAACCTGACCCTCTATTCATTAATTCATTCATTCATTTATTCATTCATTCATTTTTTAAAAGATATACTTATTGTTGCATACAAAAAGTAGGGTACGGGCCAGAGGTGTGCGGGGGTGGGGAGGGCAGGATTCACCACCAGAGACAGAGTGGGGAACAGAACAGGCAGACTGACTGAAATACATTGACGAGAGATGCAGTGGGCGAGTCAGGAGAGGTCTGCCGCACATGTGGGTAGCACTCTGGCCGGGGATTGAACTCGTGCTGCAGTGGCTGCGGACAGCTCCATTGGTTGTGTCTTAACCTTTAGCCACCAGGAAAGCCCCTGACTCTTCATTTAAATGTGAAATAAAAAGTCTCCTTTTGCTGTTATTGCATGTGGTGGTCTTTGGCATTTAGTATCTGACAGTGTTATTCAGCCATCACCACCTTCCAGATTTTTTCATTTCCCAGTAATAAAATACTGTACTCATGAAGCTCTCGCTCCCAACTGCCCTGTCCCTCAGCCCCTGTGTCCACCATTTACCTGCTGTTTGAGTTTGACAACTCAGACCTGTATGAATGGAGTCTTGTTACACCTTGTTTTCTTGGTGAATCTCTTATTTTATTGCCTTGTTAACTGTTTTGTCATTTCATTGGTATCGTACAGGAGTCCCTTCATATTGTAATGTGTGTCATTGTCTAGTTCCATTGTGATACCCATTAATAATCTCTTATGTGTATCTACCAGTCTTATTTGTCCATTAATCCATCACCTGAGGCTTGGGATAATTTTGCTTTGGGCTGTAATGACTGGTCGTGCAGTGACCGTAGGTGAGCAGATGTCTCTCCCCGTCCCTGCTGTCCCTGCTATTGGGGAACACCCCGGGGTGGGGGTGGGTCCTCCTGTCATTGTGAGTTCCCTTTTCCCAAGAATCACCTTCCTGTCTGCATCATTTATGTTTGCCCCAGCAGTGCGCAAGGGAGCCAGGTCCCTATTTTTGCCAGTACTTGTTCTTTTCTTTCTTTTTAAATCATTGCGATCCCAGCGGATGTAAAAATCTCATCTCTTGTACTTCTGATTCATATTTCCTTCGTGACCATTCGTATTGAGCACGTTCATGTGTTAGGACCCGTTTGGGTGTGTGATTTGCAGAGCTTTGTGTTCCAGTCCTTTCCTCGTGGCTGCTCATTTCCATTTTGAACAGGGTTGAAAGTGCGAGGGGATTGTATTGTCCCATTTCATCATATGGCGCTTTTATGGCATCCTGAGCCCACTCCTTTTTGGAGGTCCCGTGAGTTTCTGTGCACAGACATGAGCCATCCACCTTCTCTCTTTGTTGTTTTATTTCTTGTATTAGCGTTTCGTCAATGAGCCTATAAAGAAGAATGCATTTTTGTTTTCCTAGATTTGGGATGTGCCAGGTTACTTTGCGAGAGCTGCTGTCAGTGCAGCAGGCTCATGGTGTCCTGGATGCTGTTGTGTCTTTGCATTTGTTTACTTCATTGTTTAACCCTCCGGATTTGTTTATTCCAGGGAGTCTCTGCCCTTGGTTCCACTACATGCATTGCTTACTGTTGTCATTTCCCTGGCAGCGTACAGGAGCTCCTGTGTGCGTGAACACAGGTGTGTGTTATACTCACAGTCTGCTCACTGGGTTTTCCTTTCCAGAGTCGCTTTACTGTGGCTTTCATTGGTTTTCCAAGAATGAATTATAGGGTCTCCCCTGGTGGCGCAGTGGTTGAGCGCTGGTTTGCAAGGCTGCACAGAGCCTCTTTAGTGCCAGTTCGATCCCCGGACACCGGCGAGGGTCCCACAAAAAAAAAAAAAAAGAGTGAATTATTACTAGGTATGACCATTTTTACGCATTTTTTCTTTCTGTTGTTGCTGTTGTTGTGTAGCATCACCCGAACCCGTTGTGAATAAGGGGACATTGAGCATCTTTGTTAGTCCTCCTCTCACTGGGAATGTTGACGTCGCCTGTGGCTGTGTCAAGGAGTTGTTTTGTGTTGAGGAAAAATCCTCTGAATCCTTTTTTAGCTAATACAAATAGAAATTTATTTTAATGGGTTCCTATTCAATATATATGTGGAGGTACATAGGATTTACTACACAGGAAATGAGATGATGGAATAAATTTACAGATTTCTTAAGATGTTTGTTTTCTTATACCGAGTATCTTATTTTTCAAAACTCTTTCATTGCTATGATCTATTTTTTTCTTTCTCCAAAAGAAGTATTTGTCTCTTGTAGTAGTTTTCCTCTTCTTTCAATAACTTTTGTTCTGGTCACCGTGTTCCCCCCTACGGTGATGAAAACTATTAATAATATCCTTAGAATTCCCAAATTCTTTTTTTTTCTTTTAGATGTATTTATTTTATTTATGAACATAGTGCTCAGGTGTAGGCCACATGTGCAGGGGGCGAGAGGATTCATCAGAGTCAGAGTCAGGAATAGAACAGGCAGACTGACTGAAATACACTGCTGAGGGGAGCAGTGAAGAGACAGGAGAGATCTGCTGCGCCTTCTGGGTAGATCCCTTGTTGAGACTCGAATTCTTGTTGCAATGGCTGCCGACAGCTTCATAGCGCTGAGCCTTAAACCCTTGTGCCACCAGGGAGGCCCTGATTCCCACATTTCTGTTCTCAGCTTAGAGTTCCTGATCCATCACACACATGTCCAGTTGCGTGTGGAATACCAGTGTCTACCAGCCCATCATGCGGACAGCATATTAGGAAAACATTCCTCGTACCTCAGCCACCAAGTTATTGCCGAGTTCTCCTCCCCTTTGTCCTTCCGTTTGAGAAGTGATGACCTGTTGTGTCTTCTCTGACTCTGTCAGCTGAACATCTTTTCTTAAAATTTTATTTTATATATAATTTGCATCATTATTTATTTTGCACACTGTATGCATTTTCATCTTGGTTATAGACACCGACAATTCCTACCCCCCTTATTTTATCCCTAATCCCTCCTCCCTCCACACCCAAAACCCCCTGTTTGAGAAACCCCATCTCTGGTTTATAGTTGCTTGTAGTTGAACATCTCTTACCTGTGCTTTTTCCCCCTTCATTGTTTGAACATTCTGGTTTCCGGTTCAGCTTTTGTTTACTGTGAGTTGGAGATCCCAGGGTTTGAGGTCACAGGAGTAAAATATTGGCACAAACTTGTACATGCTTTTCATTTGTTATGAAGCTCCTTTTGTCTGTTACACCTGCCAACCAGGTTATCAGCTCCTCAAGGAGCAAATTTTATTCATCCTTTTATTCTTAGAATCATACACACTTTCAAATTTATAAGGTAAGCTGTAGTTCTAATTTAAGGACCGAACAGGTGAATGTAGAGATGAGGCTCTTTCAACTGAGAATTCTATACATCCTCTACAGGACCAAAGACCCACAAAATAAGATGTTTGCACTTGCTCTGTCTGACCCAGGCTGCCGGCCCTGAGATGAGAAATGTTCCCTCAGAAGGGACGGTGTCATTTGAAGATGTGGCTGTGAACTTCACGTGGGAGGAGTGGCAGTGCCTGAGTGAAGCTCAGAGGACCCTGTACTAGGATGTGATGCTGGAGACCTGCAGTCACCTGGTGTCCCTAGGTGAGGAAGCGCCAGTTTAACACCCTAGTGCAATGCTGTCTTCTGCACCGATAAGTGTGCACTTGCTTATGAAACTGAGTGCTGGTGAGATTGAACATGGCAGGCAGTGTACATTGTGGGTGTTTCGGTTTTTGTTTTTTAAGGAAAGATTCAGATTGGCCTCTTTTGCACAGCTCTTCACTTTGCTTTTGTTAGTTTTCAAAGACTGAAGTTGAACTTGATCGAAGACCAACACTGTTTCTCATCACAGGGCATTGTGTTAACGATCCTGAGAAGAGCATCAGGTCGGAGCAGGGAGTACAGCCGTGGTCTGTGGACAATCCCCCAAACCAGGACCTCTCAGGTCAGTCAGTGCTTGCCAGGCTGGGAGGCTGATAGGAGGCTGGGAGTGTGGCCAGTGATATTGGCCACACTGAGGTGCTTTCCCATTGTGCAACCTTGGACAGTGTGTCTGCATATATCAAACTGATTCTTTTTTCTTTCTTTCTTTCTTTTTTAAAGATTTATTTATACAAGCATGGGGTACAGTCAGTCAGAAGCTCGGGAGGGCAAGAGAACTCACCAGAGCCACAGTGGGGAGCAGAGCAGGCAGAAGGACCGAAGTACACTGCTGAGGGGAGCAGCGGGCGGCAGGAGAGGTCTGCGCACCATGTGGGACCCTCCTCCGGTGGCCGGGGAGCAGCCGGGGATTAAACCGGCGCTGCAGAGGCTGCGGGCAGCTTCGCAACCCAGCGCTCAACCGCTGCGCCACCGGGGAGGCCCTCAAACTGATTCTTTATTCAGTTCCCAAATATTCTCTCTTGTGGATTTCCTCCTGCTCTTTTAATGGTGGTTGTCTGTGTTCTTAAACCAGTATGCAGTCCCTGATACTGTGGGGATTATTCTGCATTAATCACGTTTCTGTATTCTCTCTCTTAGTGTATTCTCACAGACTGTTTTCTTTAGGTACCTGTTCAGGAATTTTTTTATTTCTGTATGTTCATGGGAAATTTAGCCAGTGGTAAATTTTCTATGAGAGGGGAGAGCAACAGTACTCACAGAAATGATCTTTGCTTTCTGAAGTTATACAATCTGTGAGGAAAGAATATATAATAAATACATTTATTGATAGAGAGGTAAAGCCACAGAGGATGTTTGACCAGCATGAGTGAAACAAAGTGGAGGATGTTGTTTTTGCTTGTGTGCTCCATACACATCATTATAGAGATTAATTCTTTTCTTTCAGAGCTCAGGTGAGGTGAATGGCTTGCACTGACATGTCATATCTATAGTTCCCTCTGCAGTCTGGGCTAGAGGCTGTGTATTGCTTTTGGAGATTCACTTTGCAGGTGACTAACTCAAAAGGGATAGAGGGGCGTTGATTGGAGAGTTATTTAGAACATGAGTAGTGTTTCAGAGGCAAACCTTGTGACTGCCCACATAGTAAATGGTGAGGCTGAGGAGGACCCAGAAATTGTTCATCATTGGAAGGGATGTTCTGTGACATGGGAAGGGGAACCTGAGGTGGTGGTTTCTAAAGCCATGGCACCAAGAGTTTGAGGTTTGGGGCTCATACCTTGGGGAGCAGTGTGACCTGTGCAATTCCACCTTGTCGTGGGAATCATTGGGAGGAAAGTAAAGGAATCAACGGCAGTGTGATGTAGCTGTGAGTCACACACGACATAGAAACTGGAGTTACTATGAAAAAAGTAGAAACGCAGTTTCCAAGCAGTGCGGTGAGAATACCAGGGTGTTGCTCTCAAAAGAATGTGGGAATAGCCTTTAATGCTGATAGCCACAGGCTGGATGCATAATTTTTTTCCTATCGCTCAGCAGGGAACGTGGGACACAATGATGAGGCGGAGTTTGCTGCATGTGTTAGGATTCTGAGCCTTATGTGATGTGATATTTAAATACGAACTGACAGGTCTCTGGGCCTCCCCGGTGATGCTGCGGTTGAGCGCTGGGTTGCGAAGCTTCCTGTGGCCTCTGCGTCACCGGTTCGATCCCCGGCTGCTCCCCGGCCACCGGAGGAGGGTCCCACATGGCGCGCAGACCTCTCCTGCCGCCCGCTGCTCCGCTCAGCAGTGTACTTAGGTCCTTCTGCCTGCTCTGCTCCCCGCTCTGGCTCTGGTGAATTCTCTCACCCTCCAGCGCTTCTGACTGTACCCAGTGCTTGTATAAACAAAAACAAAAGAAACAAATAAATAAATAAAACATGCTTCTAAAAAAAAAAAAAGAACTGACAGGTCTCTGCTGTGGAGGGAAGCACATGCCTCTGAGAACCTCTGCAGGTGTTCTGGCCAGGGCCTGGTGGAAAGAAACACTAGGAAATGGAGAAGCAGTGTCCTTGTATCTTAGCAGGCCTCTTGCTTAAAATGCCTTGGCAATGACTGGGTCACTCCGTCCACATATTTCCGGGAAAGCCATGGCCTCTGCAGGGCTTGGTTATTCATAAAGTTCCCGCAAGAGCTGCACAGGGTCACTCTAACAAAGAAAGTATGTAGGATCTATGTTGGGTGAAATGCTTCTGGTTGTAATGGACAATTCTAGTTAAAGGACTATTTTTACCAAATATTTATGATTTTATAAAACCATGGTGAAATTAGTTTTACTGCTTTGTTATCCTGGTTTGGCATTAGAAAATCTGTTAATTGGGGCCTCCCTGGAGGCGTAGGGATTAAGTCTCTTAGCTCTCACTATTATGGCCTGAGTTTCATCTACAGTGAAGGAGCTCTCCCACTTTGGCACAGCAGACCTCTCTTGTCTCACCCGCTACTCCCCTCAACCGTCTATTTTAGTCAGTCCACCTGTTCTGTTCCACACACTGTCTCCACGCTCCCCTACAGCACCCCCACTCCTGCACCTCTGGCCTACACCGCAGATCTTCTATGCTAAAATACAAAATACCAAGAAATCTATTCTCCACATAAGTTACTACAGGCAAAAAGCATGAATCAGAAAATCAATACCTGTAAATTGTGTTGTAATATAGGAGCTTTTGTGCCGCTTAGTAGTATTCACTCAAAATGCTTCCTTTTTAGAGACATGGTCGTTTTTATCTCACTTTAGATGTCCATACCGTGGATCACCTGACTCCCGACAGCCCTGCAAATCGGGGCCGACATCTGTGGCAAGTTCTTACCGCCAGCAGCAAAATACCATCCAACGAGAGAACTGACTTAATGGAAAAAAGCATTTTGGACTCAATTCATTGTTTGAACCATAGTATCAAAAATGGAAACTATTCAGCAATGATGCCTGAGAACTTTACTATACATAGGACCATGATGATCCCTGGTGAGCCTCATGAAGAGCATGCTGGAGAGAACGAGGAGGTCTTTAGTAGAATGAGGGAACCCATTAAGTATCCTGAGCACCTTAGTCACCAGGTGATTCAGAACTTTGAACAGCCTTTTGAATTTCGTGAACAAGGAAAAGTCTCGAGTGAAGAAACAGTACTTACACCTAGAGGAGCCCTTCCGGAAGGGGCTGCCCGTAAATGCATTGAGTGCAGGGACACCCGTGATGAGGCACCTTTCGATGTCCGAGACAGAACCCAAGGAGGACAGACTCCCTGCAGTTGTAATGAAAAGGGGAGAGCTGCGGAGATGATTCCAGTGCATTTGCATCCTCCTAGGTATGTTGAACATGAGCAGCAGGAATGTTATGAAAGTGGGGCCAGTCTCAGCAACACGTTTCACACCTATCCACATGAGACTACCCAGTTAGGACAGAATAATTTTGGATATAAGAGATATGGTGAAGCGGCCTCTAAAGCCTCTTTTCTGACTGAACATCAGAAATCACAAGCGGATGATAAACCTGATGAGTGTGGGGGCACCTCTGAGATTTCCTTACAGAGGAGACACCAGAGAAATCTCACTGCAATGAAGTTGTTTGGCTCTAACTATTATGTGAAAACTTTCTCATGGAAGACTGCCCTCACTGTACATCCACAATCTCAAACGGGAGTGAAGTGCTACCCGTGTCTAGTATGTAAGAAAACTTTCAGGCACAAATCGGCTTTTAGTGTCCATCAGAGAACTCACACAAGGGAGAAACCCTATGAATGTCAGGCGTGCAGGAAAGTGTTCTCCTGTAAGTCAGTTCTTGTTCTACATGAGAGGACTCACACTGGAGAGAAACCCTATGAATGTGAAGGGTGTGGGAAAGCTTTTTCCAGTAAGTATTACCTCAGTGAGCATCAGAGAATTCACAGTGGAAAGAAGCGTTTTGAATGTCAAGAGTGTAGGAAGACTTTCTCCTGGAGATCATCCCTCAGTCGCCACCAGAGAAGTCACAATGGAGAGAAACCCTATGAATGTGAAGGGTGTGGGAAAGCTTTTTCCAGTAAGTCTTACCTCAGTGACCATCAGAGAATTCACAGTGGAGAGAAGCCTTATGAATGTCAAGAGTGTAGGAAGACTTTCCACTGGAAATCATCTTTCAGGAAACATAAGAGAAGTCACACTGGAGAAAAGCCTTATGAATGTCAAGAGTGCAGGAAGACTTTCCATCGGAAATCATCCCTCACTGTACATCATAGACTTCACACTGGTGAGAAACGCTATCATTGCGAAGGGTGTGGGAAAGCTTTTTCTACTAAGGCACACCTCATTACACATAAGAGAAGTCACACTGGAGAGAAACCCTATGATTGTGTAGAGTGTGGGAAAGCTTTTCCCAGTAAGTATTACCTCAGTGAGCATCAGAGAATTCACAGTGGAGAGAAGCCTTACGAATGTCAAGAGTGTAGGAAGACTTTCTCCCGGAAATCATCCCTCATTCACCATCAGAGAATTCACACTGGAGAGAAACCCTATTATTGTGAAGAGTGTGGTAAAGCTTTTTCTAGTAAGTCATCCCTCAATCTCCATCACAGAAGTCACACTGGAGAGAAATCCTATTATTGTGAAAAGTGTGGGAAAACTTTTTCTAGTAAGTCACACCTCATTACACATCAGAGAAGTCACACTGGAGAGAAACCCTATAAATGTGAAGGGTGTGGGAAAGCTTTTTCCAGTAAGTCATCCCTCTGTCACCATCAGAGGACTCACACTAGAGAGAAACCCTATGAATGTGTACAGTGTGGGAAAGCTTTTTCCAGTAAGTCATACCTCAGTGAGCATCAGAGAATTCACACTGGAGAGAAGAAGCCTTATGAATGTCAAGAGTGTAGGAAGACTTTCCAGTGGAAGTCATCTCTCAGGAGACATAAGAGAAGTCACACTGGACAGAAGCCTTATGAATCTCAAGAGTGCAGGAAGACTTTCCACCGGAAATCATCCCTCACTGAACATCAAAGACCTCACACTAGTGAGAAACGCTATGATTGTGAAGGGTGTGGGAAAGCTTTTTCCCGTAAGTCAAACCTCATTAGACATCAGAGAAGTCACTCTGGAGAGAAACCCTATGATTGTGAAGAGTGTGGGAAAGCTTTTTCTAGTAAACCACACCTCATTACACATCAGAGAATTCATACTGGAGAGAAATCCTGAGTGTCAAGAGTGTGGGAAAACTTTCTGCCAGAAATCATCCCTCAGTCAACATCAGAGACGTCACACTGGAGAGAAGCCTTAGGAGTGTCAAGAGTGTGGGAAAACTTTTTCCAGTAAGCACGCTCTCACTAGACATCAGAGGTGTCACTGGACAAAATCCCTATGATTGTGAAGAATGTGGGAAAACTTTTTAGGAAGTCAGCCCTCACTAGGCATGACAGAATCCACACTGGATGGAAATGCTATGCATGTCAAGAGTGGACAGGCAGGCCTCCCCTGGTTGCGCAGGTGGTTGAGCGCAGCGCTGTGAAGCTGTCCTTGGCCTTTGCGGTTGGAGTTTGAGTCCCTGGCCGGCCAGGAGCAGCCCCGTGGTGCGGCAGACCTCTCCTGTCTTGCCCGTTGCATGTATTTCAGTAGAGTATTTCGATCAGTCTGCCTGTTCTGTTCCCCGTCTGTCTCTGGTGCATCCTCTCACCCTCCCACACATCTGGCCTGTACCCTGGTTCTGGTATGCTTGAATAAATAAAAATCTTTTTAAAAAATATTCAAACTTGGGAGCACAAACCACATCATTCAGCTGAGAGCAATGGGAACTGACATACAGTTTCACTCCTAATGGCGTGGAGTTACCTGGTACACTCTGTGAAGCTTTGATACAACCTGGGATATCCCATGGCTAAATCACTTACATTTTGGTGTCTCAGTTTCCACATTTTAAGAAAATTTGGATTAGACTAGCACTACTAATGGGTGAATGAGGCTTACTGCAATCACAACATCAAAAATCTGTGCAGAAACATAGACTGTGCAAGCTTGAATAGACCTCTCTGTCACAGAATTTCTTGGAGCATTTTAAAGTCAATGTGCTCTACAAAGCCGCAAGGAAAGGATACCACACACAATATCCCTCACGTGTTGTTTTGACACACAGCACCAGAGACAGGTTACATTAGGAAGAGGCTACTATTCGCTATAATTCCCCCTGGATCCCAAATGGTCAGATCCCTTTGATCCTAATGTCTTATGGTCACATCCAGAGCCTCCTAGTTCTTTGACTGTTTATTCACTAAGAAAGAGTAATAATGAAGTGAAGGGTGTTTCACTTCATACTGTACACATCCCACACTGTACACATCCCAGAAAAAAATCCTTAAGAAACCACAACTATGCTCTATACTCCAGGAAACAAGAATCTTTAAAGGGATAATTAGTGGAGGATTTGAAACTCCACACACTCACTGCACTTTCCATTTTTAAGGAAGTTTCCTTAAAATGTACCTGTTTTCCTATTTCAATCTGTTTCAGCATTTTTTTTAAAGATTTATTTATTTATGAATACAAGAGCTGGGGTGCAGGCCAGAGATGGGGGTGGTGGTGGTAGTGGTGAAAGGATTCACCAGAGACAGAGTGGGGAGCAGAACAGGCAGACTGACTGAAATACACTGCTGAGGGTAGCAGCGGGCTGGACAGGAGAGGTCTGCTGCACCATGTGGGTAGCCCCCTGGCTGGCCAGGGGATCGAACTCATGCTGCAGAGGCTGCCGATTGCTTCATAGTGTGGCACTTAACCCCATGTGCCACCAGGGAGGCCCTGTTTTAACATTCTTTTGTTATAAAGACATATGTGATATTTGGGTTTTGCTGTTTGTGTCCCATAGCATAGAATAATATATTCATGCAAACAAAGAAATGGACTTGAAAATTAACTGGAGGAAAATGCAGGAGATAAATGGATGAGTAGTTATTTATAAATGGGAATTCAGCAAAATTATTAGAAGACAAGTGTGCCATGCTGACCTTTGCCAATCCTCTTGACCAAGGTTCTTTTGGAGGAATAAGTAATTGCTTGCTTTTGGCATCATTCTCACCATAGACATATGTTTCGCATTGTCAGATGGTTCCGTAGGATTGATGTGATGTAGTATAATGCAGCTCAGTTCATTTAATTTGCATTAAACAATGCACAATGTACTAGTTTTTTTTTTTTAATAGAGGCATGTTATTTATTTATTTGTTTGTTTGTTTTGTTTATACATGCACTGGGTACAGTCAGAAGCATGGGAGGGTGAGAGAATTCACCAGAGCCAGAGCGGGGAGCAGAGCATTCAGAGGGACCGAAGTACACTGCTTGAGGGGAGCAGCGGGCGGCAGGAGAGGTCTGCGCGCCATGTGGGACCCTCCTCCGGTGGCTGGGGAGCAGCCAGGGGACGAACCGGCACTGTAGAACCTGCGGGCAGCTTCGCAACCCAGCGCTCAACCGCTGCGCCACCGGGGAGGCCCCGCAATGTACTAGTTTTTCTGTACTTTTTTTCTTGACCTTATAGAAATGGCCTCAGATAGACTCATTGACCTTCAATCATAAATCAGCCCTTTACTGGTCAAGAGGTGAAGTGGGTTAACAGTGGATTTACTTGTAAATTGAGAAGAGATAAATCGTTGTTCCCTCCAGGGTAGTGCTGTATTTATAGATTGGAAGGCAGAACCAGGTTTCAAAAAGCATTTTACAGGAAGGTAAAGTCTTAAAGACCTTGGGTGTTTTTGATCTCTGAAACTTGTATATCTGCACAATGCCGCGGACCAGCACAGCAGTGAACGAGGAGGCCCTCTCAGGGTTGAGAGACTGCGCAGGGTGGTCAGGGATTCGGTGAATAAATGACACACAGACACACCTCAAGAAAGTGGAAATCTGAGTGTAATTTTATTTAAGTTAGTGGCCAGTATCTATGTTTTTCTAAAGGCATAGGATCGGTTATCAGTGAACTAAAGCAGTTGGCTCATAGGTTTAACTTATCATTGACAAGGCAGTGATTTATGTCCAGAGTTACATTTGGATCTAGGCACATTCCTAAGCAGTCAGACCATTAGTTTTGTCTTTTGTTTTATATAATTACATTTTTTTCTAGCTAACCACCAAATTCCTTAATCATTATTAATTATAACAGGTGCACTTATTATTATTTTTATGTAATAACATTTTTTCATTAGGGATCAAAGCTAAGGAATTTTAACATGTAACAGAGCAATTATTGAACTAACAATTTTGTTGTTACACAAGGTTTAGTGGTGTTTCATTTGAGTCATCCTTGTTACTAGATTTCATGTTTCTTTAATTTAGCAATCAATGACCTTTACAGAGGAGAAGGAAGAAGTTTTAGAAAGAGAGTGAAGGGATAAAGTTTGTAGGTCTGAGGAGACGAGATAAGGCTCCTTTTGGTCAGCATTTTTTTGGTGGCTCCTGGTGGTCGTTATCTTTTGATAGGTCTGTCTCATCTATGTCTTCAGGGAACTTTGCTGTACTCCCCTGCGCGCTGGTTCCTTGCCCAGCCGGACCTAGGGACCCTGGTGAAAGCCATTGGCCCTAAAGGTCACTGCAGGGGGAGGTGCAGCAGCACAATTGTTGTAAAATACACTAATAAAATAAGATAGGATGTTGCTTTATATTTGCCTGTGTTAGGACTTGAGGTGTTGTACAGGTAGAATGAAGGCTACATAAAATAAACTCATAAGCTGAATCTTAATTCCTTTGGGAAACCCACCACTTTTATTTATAGGTCTATAAGCCTAACAGATAAAAATAACTAAGAAAATATATTACAAGTGTATTTCATACCACTCTCCAATCTGTAAGCATTGGATGATCTGTAAGCATTTCCATCCCATAAACCTGCCTGATAAATATCTGTTAACTTGAATATGTGGAATTAATCTCTTCATTAGAAGTAACCTAAACCTACATACAGAATAATAGGACGACATGATGGGCCTGGTCTTTAGCTAGTTTGTGATTATATTACACTACACAGATATATCCTTGACTGCAAAATGACAGGATAATTTTAGAAATTTGCAATATAAAAAGCAAGCACATTTGGCATATAAAATAGTGTCAGAGATTTCAGAGCAATATTAAAATCTGCATTTTATTTTTAAAACATGGAAATCTGCTTCTAGCAAGAGTCAAGCACTTTAACCAGTATGAAAAAATCAGTCAGTTTTTAGATATTGTAATCTATTTCTAGGTTATCCAAGTCAGCCCTTTGGATATTTTTAGCTGTATCTATCCACCACAAAGCATTAAGCAAATGACAACATGGGTCAAACATTAAGAATTTAAACGTCGGTTGGCCTCCTTGGTGGTGCAAGGGGTTAAGTTGCCACCACTAAGAAGCTATACTCAGCCACTGCAGCACTGCATTCATTCAGTCCCCAGCCAGGATGCTACCCGCATGGCATAGCAGACCTCTCCTGTCTCACCTGCTGCTCCCCTCAGCAGTGTATTTCAGTCAATCCGCCTGTTCTGCTCCCCACTCTGTCTCTGGTGGATCCTCTCAGCCCCCATGCCTCTGACCCGTACCCGAGTTCTTGTATGCATAATAAGCCTTAAAAAAAGAATTTAAATATTAATCAACACTGAATGGGGACTACTGTCTGCAGAAATACACTGCTCTGTGTCATTCTTCATGGGCTCGTATGATTAACTGTTATATGAGATGGAAGAATGACAACACGATCTTCCCACTCTCTGAAATGTGCATTTGACATCTTCAACCTAAATAACCATGAGGGAAAATTGACTTCAGGAAAATCAACTCTGCTACCACTTAGTAACACCTAAAAATAAGACCCCAAAGGATCAACATGTTAATAGATAACTTCAACATGTTTCTGAACAAAACTCAATAATGCTTGGAAAAACAAAAATCTATACCGTACCCAACAATGTGAAAATCTAAAATGCCTGCCATCCAATTAAAAATACGAGACCTTTTAAAAAAGAGGAGAACACAAACATCGATCAATTGAAGTAGACCCAGAAATGACATTAGTGGCAGAATTAGTAAACTAGGACATGAAAGCAAATATTATTGCTGAATTCTGTGCGTTCAAGAAGCCGAAGAATAGATTGATATTAAGAGGAGATATAGACTATATAAAAGAGGCACACGTTAAAATTCAAGAGATGAAAATTGCTGTGTCTGAGATTGAAAAGTTCACTGCATAAAATCAATGAGAATCAAGCACACTGAAAGAACTGCAAGGAGAAATAAATGAATCTACTGACAGAGTTGGATATTTCTACACCCATCACACCCATTCTGGACAAATCCAGAGGAAAAACTCTGTGAAGACATAGTGGAACTCAACAGTAGTGTCAATTAATTGGATAGCTATAGAATTTTTCATCTAACAACAGCAGGTGGGCCCATTCTGGTGGCCTAGGGGTTAATCTCAGCCCTATCACCCCTATGGGGCTGAGTTCCATCCCTGCCAGGGAGTTAACTCACATAAGGTACAGCAGACCTCTCCAGTGGTGCCCTACTGCCCTCAGCAGTGTATTTTGGTCCTTCTGCCTGTTCTGCTCCCCACTCTGTCTCTGGTGAATCCTCTCAGCCCCTCATCTCTGACCTATACCCCAGTTACTTATTTAATTATTTACTTATTGTTGTGTATTAAATCTCAAAAGGAAGTAAAATAGTTTTTATTGGGCAAAAATGAAAACACAACTTACCAAAATATGTGGAATATAGAGAATCCAGTGTACCAAGGGCTATTCATAGCCTTGAATTGATATAAAAAGAAGAAAGATGTAATATGCATAATACAAGTTTCCACATAAGGAAACTAGAAAAAGATGACAAAAGTAAGGCCATAGCAAGTAGAAGAAAATAAATAATCATGCCTAGAGCAGACATTTGTGAGATTGGAAACAGGAAATTAATGGAAAAAATAAATGGAGACAAAAATTATTTCTTTAAAAAGATCAGTAAAATGTATAAGGCTCTAAAGATCAGTAAAATGTATAAGATTCAGTAAGACAAGAGTAGGGCACAGTCTGCTAACCTGAGAAAATAAAGTGTCACAAGTTCCATATAATTGTAAAGGATTACAGAAGAAGAAAGAGAAGGAGAAGAATGTATAAACAAGTCTGTCCACAAATTGGATTATCCTGAAATGAACCAATTCCTTGAAAAATACAATATGTTCAATCTCACCAACAATTCCTCTTCTGGGTACATATCCAAATGGATGAAATCACTGTATCTGTTCCCCTTGTTCACTGCATCATTATTTACAACAGTCAATACATGGAATCAACCTAAGTGTTCATTTATGGATAGTTGGATAAATACTGTATGATTTCACTTAATGTGGAATGCCAAAAAACCCAAACTCGTAAACAGAGAAAATATCGGTGGTTGCCAGGGGTATTGACTAGGGTATTGATTAGGGTCTTTATAGTTGAAATGTTTAGTAAAATGATGCCCTAACAAGTTTTGAACAGATACAAATAGTTTACTGTTCACAACTTTGAAAATGCCAAAAAATATAAGAAAACATAGAAACAATTTTCCATTTTGTACCCACCGATATTGCCACTTGTCATAGTTTTTCAAATACTGTAGGGGTATTGACTAGGGGTGGGAAAAATGGATGGTAATGATCAAAAGGTACAAGTCATAAGATAGATAAGTTCTGGGCATTTAATGAACAGCACGGTGACTATCGTTGGCAGTGGTTTAGTGTATACTGAAGAGCTGATAAACATGCTCTTAAAAGTTCACATCCCAAGGAAAAATCAATTGTGACTAGATGAGGTGAGGATGGTTAACTAAATCTATTGCAGTAATCATTATGCAATGTGCACATATATGAAATCATTAAGATAAATAAACAATGATGTGCTATGTAAATTACACCTCAATAAAATTGGCCAAAATGCAGAGCTTATTTTATATCCATTACATCTCATAAAACTTTTCAAAAATGAAAGAAAAGACAAATAATATCAAGTAGAGAGAGTAAGAGTTACGCATGTGGGAAGACCTAATGTTTAACTTTGTTTTATTATTCACAGTTTAGCTTTGGTTTGACTCATATGTTCATAGGTCCTTTTCATGTTAGTAAAAATAATAAAATGATTAGATAATATCAGGGCAGAATGATACAATAATGAGCGTTTTAAAACAATGGCTGTAATGTTTAATCTGATTCTCTGTAGCTTTTCTCCCCAAAGTTATAAATGATAATAAAATTTTTCCAAAGTCTATTCAAATGGTGTTGAAACCTCACAGTGAATGACATCGACAAATGAATTTCTATGATATCTTGAAGTAGAAGACTATTTTTACTTCTATTTCAAGTTTTCATTTAGTGAGAAACAGTGATACATTCCAGTTTCCTCAAGGATATGCTTTGAAGAATTTTGGACAGTTATATTTTAGGATATTTTGGGACTTAATAATGGTCAAATCTAGTACAAAGAGAATGCCACGAGAACCTGCTCTTTAAAACAGGTTGTCTGCTGCTGTGTTTCACCTATGACCTGTGCATTTCTGTGTATTCAGACATGGAACTTGACAACCTAGTCTGCACAGAGGAACTGGTAATGCCTTGACTTTAGGAGAAGGTGGACAGTTGCTAGTCTTCTGTTTCCTTTTTTTTTTTTTTTCCTTGTGGCAAAGGGTGGACTGATGTGTGGATATGTGTTTTTCTGAGGTTTCTGGCATGTATCACACCTCTGACCATGATCTCAACTGGAAAACTCGAGCCAATTGTATTCCCATAGGTGTTAGCAGACCTTAAATCGTGGTTTGGTAATGTGTTTAAAGCTATAATTTTAATAGTCCTGAAATACTCAGGTTTTTTGCTAGGAAGATAATGATATAAAGCTAAGAGCTATGGATTCTTCAAAACAGATGTTGGTAGATGGCTTTTCTCGTTACACAATTACAGACAGAAAACTCACATAGGTTACAACCTGGAGGATGGTCTTGGAGTCGTACAATCATTCTGTTCTCAGTGGTTAGAGAAAAACGTAAGATGTCAGAAATCAGTGTGTAATCCTTTATGTTCATTCCAGAATTTTTTTATAGGGGTAAATGGTTGGTTATTCAAGAGATCACTATATAACTTTTCCAGCTGTATGAGTCTTTATAGTTGAAATGTTTAGTAAAATAATTTCCTAACAAGTTTTGAACAGATATAAAGTTTACTCTTCACAACTTTGAAAAGGCCAAAAATATAAGAAAACGTAGAAACAATTTCATTTTGTACCCATCCATATTGCCATGTCTCATAGTTTTGCAAATTCTCTGTGCTTGTGTCACAGGTCACAACCTCAGGAGATTTTTAAGCGTGATATGAAACCACTGCCATCCATGGAGGGCCTGGAAAGATCTTAGAATATTGGTAGGTGGCATTTTTAATAATGAATGGTACGTACTTACAAAACTTTGTCTTGGTCAGCTACAAGACAAGGAGTTTTCTGAAAAGTTAATGTAATCACCGAAACTGAAAAGTTTATGTCATCACCTGTATTGTCTAAATTGTCTAAACATTTTTCTTTTTCAGTCGTATGTCCTTGGGCAGCTTCTAGGAGCAAGGAAGGCAAACAGAATGTATACTGATGGGAGAAGAGGTACAGCGCCTTTAATATCCCAGGTCCAACTTTGAATCAACAAGTGCTCACATTCTCGTGGTGGCCTTCCTCAACACAAGAGACTTCCTACGTTTTCTAATTACCAAACAAGCGAACACACACAAAACAACCTCCCCCAAACCCAGCAGCTGAAACAGAGCTAAGAGGCAGGGACATGATGTTTTCAACATAGACCAACACTGCTCGCTCCCTTGTCATACCGTGCATATTAAATCAGACGACCGACATAGTTGTACAGTGCCTCGATCACCACAAAGGTCGCTGCAGAAGAGTGTCAGCGGAGCAGACACAGCCCCCTCTGCTCCAGTTGAAACTTTGCCATAATTGACATCATTTTTCTCCGTTCCCACTCATTCTACTTTGTACCGCTGTGCTTCAGCCTGTCTTCTACCGGTCTTCATTGATTGCCTCTTGGGAAGACTTAGTTGGGATATACCCATCGGGTTACGGTTGTGAAAAATACCAGTGTTCAGTTATTTCAGGCATATAAGTATCAGGCGTCCCTCAGGTCGTAAAATAGCTCTTCCTACTCACAATGTGAGTTCCCCCACCTGTCACAGTGAGCAGGATCGTTACTAATCAAACAATTATGGCAACTAGATCATCATCAATAGATAAAATCTTTTATTTGCCTATTTAGCATGCCAGCATTAATGCACAAAATATGTAGCCCTTTGTATCTTTAACTTTAGTGGTATTCTCATTGTAATGTCTTGTAAAATCATTTTCCCACCCCCACCCCATGGAGGCAAGATTTTTATTCCAGTGAAATTAACTTTTACAGATGAGAAGTGTAAATTACATTAAGTAGTCAGTATGAATGATGGTGACTAGAGCTCATCATACTTCTATTCCTTAACTCTCAGACACATGTAGTCTAGCTGCTGGGGATACAGCACCATAAATAGCCCAATAGTTTAGTTTTATATACTGTGCTCAGCTCCTCAGGGTACTGTCTCCAGCCAGCCCCTTTGCTGGTTTAATTGATCATTCTGTATTCTTATTAGTCTGGACTTTCTTGATGGTCCTGCATATGTCACACCAATGATTGCTATATGCCTATTAGTCCAAATTATTCTTTTTAGTCTAAGGCAATGCAATGTGAATTCCCATGTTGTTAACCAAGCTTCTGTAATTTTCAGACGGTGGTACTAGAAGACACTTACGAGCTAAGAAATATCTGGAGGATATGGAGAGATAAATCACTGCACCTTCCAAGATGTAAGCCTTCTGATAAAATCAGCTGCCACAAAATGACTCCCTGGTTTTCAAGATATAAGTTACTTCATCATATACACCTATCTTTCATCCAAGCTTACTTATCCTCAGTATTTCGATCTTATTTTTTTCTAGGTTTCTGAACAACCACTCAAACTATTCTTTAATGCCCAGAAATGTATGACGTCTTCTACTTAATCCATTTCTTCTATACAACGTGAAGAAAACAAGTGCAAAGGATAGACTAAGGTCATGAACTACAGGTCTTTTGCTGGTAGGTTAACTATGGCGACCACACTTGAGGGGAGAAATCCTACACTAACAAAGAACTAACAAGGATGTACAACAATGTATTTTTAAAATATAGAAATACAGAGAAAAAATAAGTGCACAATTGCAGATGTGTTTATTGAGAGATTGCAGAGCAGCAGCAATGGCGCCACATTGTGGCAGCGGGTCATTTTTCTGCTAGCAAAGTTATCTCTCAGAATTGAGTTCTTTTCATTCATTGGTTTTGTGTAGCCCCTCATGAGGCCCAGAGATGTGAATTAAGAGATGAGAGTCAGTACAACAAGGAAAGTCAACATCTGTTTGTGTCACTTACTTGTGCCTTACAGATTTGTTTTTACTTGATTCCAAATATCTCACTTTTATCACACCATCAAAGATTGCTGTGTCTGTCCAATCTATTGACTCAATAGATAATCATGGTTCAGCTTATGCTGAGAATCCCTTCAGAAAGGAGAATTATATAGTCATAAATTATACTGTATAGTCATAAACTAAATAAATGTAGGTAAATAAAGGAAAAATAAACATCAGTAAATAAAATATTTTTTATGCGTATTTGATCTAATAGGTATGTATTTGTCAAAGGTACACAATACCAGTGTAAGAGGGAGAGATCAGTACGTATTTCCTGTGAGGGGGCGAGGATGTAGCTTGAGATCATCATCAAGGGCCAGTGATTTCATCAATCACGCCCATGTTAGGAAGCCGCCACAGAACCCCAAAAGGACAGCCTGTAAGAGCTTCTAGCTTGATGCTCCAGGCCCTCAAGGTGCTGATTGAAAACGCAGATGTTGTGTATGAAAGACTGTCCGTTGTCAGAAGGCGGCGGGAATTCTTGTCACTAAGCAGCAATAGTGACACAGTCAAGGACCTACTTCTCCCCGGTGTCTGCTCACTCTCAGGCTACCATGCAGTGCATGTAACCCAGCCGCTAAGAGCATTATTTTTTTTTTTTTTTTTAATTTTATAATTTTTACATCGTTTTTCATTTTTGTACAATGTATACATTTTCATCTTGGTTATATTCCCCATACAATTCCCACCCCCCTCATTTTGACCCTAATCCCTCCTCACCTCCCTCCCTCCATAGTGTGTCTCTGGTTTGTAGTTGCTTGTTGATTTTGATTTCTATTTTATTATAATTTGTCTTTTTCCTGGTCCTTTATTTAGGTTTCTAAATTCCTGCTATGAGTGAGACCATCCAGTGTTTTTCGTCTTCTTTCTGGCTTATTTCGCTGAGCATGATCCCTTCCAGCGCCATCCATGTTGCTGCAAATTGCATGTGTTTATCTTTTTTGAATGCTGAGTAATATTCCATGGTGTCTATGTCCCACATCTTCTTGATCCAGTCATCTATTTTTGGGCATTTGGGTTGTTTCCAAAGCTTCGCTATTGTAAACAGTGCTGCTGTAAACATAGAGGTGCAGGTGCTCTTTGGAATTGATGCTTCTGTGTCCTTTGGGTAAACACCCTAGGAGTGGAATCGCTGGATCCTACGGAAGCTCTGTCTTTAGCAGGTCGAGGAATCTCCACACAGCTCTCCATCGTGGTTGGACCAGTTTGCACTCCCACCAGAAGTGCAGAGAGTTCCTTTCTCTCCACATCCTCGCCAACATTTGTTGTTGCTAGTTTTTTAAATACCTGCCATTCTCACTGGTGTGAGATGGTATCTCATGGTAGTTTTGATTTGCATTTCCCTGATTGCAAGTGATGTTGAACATTTTTTCATATGCCTGGTGGCCCTTTGCATTTCCTCTTTGGAGAAGTTTCTTTTTAGCTCTTCTGCCCATTTTGTGAATGGATTATTTACTTTGTTTTTTTGAGTCTCTTCAGCTCGCTCAGAGCATTCATTATTTATGAGGACATCAGAAGTCTGCAGACTTAAATCTCTAGAAACTTTTTTTTTTTTAAACATTTTTTTTTTTTTTTAAAGAGGCACATATTTTATTTATTTATTTATTTGTTTGTTTGTCTATACATGCACTGGGCGCAGTCAGAGGCGCGGGAGGGTGAGAGAACTCACCAGAGCCAGAGCGGGGAGCAGAACAGGCAGAAGGACCGAAGTACACTGCTGAGGGGAGCAGCGGGCGGCAGGAGAGGTCCGCGCGCCATGTGGGACCCTCCTCCGGTGGGCGGGGAGCAGCAGGGGATCGAACCAGCGCCGCAGAGGCCGCAGGGAGCTTCACAACCCAGCGCTCAACCGCTGCGCCACCGGGGAGGCCCTCTAGAAACTTTTAAATATTGATTTTACACATGATCATCACCAAAGAAATCTTTCAGGATCAGTACAATCCTGATTACTTTCTGAACTGTGTAGGTTTTTCTTCTGATTCATCCATGAAAAATACTTGTTTTAGAATTGAAAAATCCCCATACTTTGCCCCCTCTTGTCACCGATGAAGACATGGAGGTGCCGCTGAAAGCCATCTTCCCTCAGCACCCACGGGCCCGAGGAGGAGACAGTGATGATCACTGAGGGAAGGGAAGGGCAGCCGCAGTCTCTTCTGACTTGCTGGAGGAGCAGCTGTCAGTAGTTCTCCTGAAGCTGCCTAATAAAGGTTAAAGGCTCCATTTAACTAAGCCTCTGGCGGGGCCTCCAGGATGGCCTAGGGTTTAGTCTCAGTGCCCTCACCGTTGCGGCCTGAGTTCGAGCCCCGACCAGGGAGCTACCCGCAAGGAGCATGGGAGTTAGCCCCGCAAGGGGGCATGGAGCTAGAGCGCCTGTGGTGCAGCAGAAGGTCTCTCCTCTCTGTGCCTGCTGCTCCACTATGCTCTGTGCTTCAGATCTCGCCCCGCCCCTCCTCCCTCGCCCCGCCCCTCCTCCCTCGCCCCGCCCCCTCCTCGCCCCGCCCGCCCTTCCTAGTAAAATCTAACACCTAGATACTCCGGAGCGCAATGCGAATATCAGTCGATTAACAACTGCCATGCCACTAAACACCCTCCGTATGTAAAGCATCTATTTCCCCGTAGTACCTTGAGTTTTTGGCATAAATCAACTACACCATTTGTTCTTTCCCTATACTGACTGTTTTGTTCTTTAACTCAGCCTTAATATTCCCATGCAAATCATAAACATACTGAGTGAGTTCTCAATGAAGTGATGAGTTCCATCACGCTCCCCCTTTTGTGTCCTCCCTGTGA